CGCACCCCCACGCACCCCTCTCTGCCCCACCCACCCAGCCCTGCCCAACATCTGGATTCTTTAATGCTAAACGAAGCCCGGGCTGTGCCAGGGCAGCTCATCCCTCTGCAGGGTCCCTGGTTCACTCTTTTCCCAGCCCCAGGTGACACCACAGCAATGTCCCCCGCCGGGACAGCAGCAGGGGGGTTGGTAATTTATGAGGAAGCAACACAGCCTGCCCACCCCAGTCTTGCCCCGTGGCCATCTCCATCACCTGTAACCGGTTGCCCACCCCCCCTGCCGATGGGGGTCCTCAACCTGGGACCCCAAAACCTTCCTGGGATCAGCTGGGTTCCTGGCCTCGGCCAGTGCTGCCAGAACACCGACTCCTTGGCTGGTCCCGGCTGCACAGGACAAGGGTCCCAGATCCCCCCAGAGCTCCTCCTAACCCAGCCCCACCCACACCTTGATGGGCTGATCTGGACCCCCCCTCCCTTTTCCACTAGGAAAAGGGTCTCTGGAACGTCTGATCCGGTCAGGGTGTAAATCAGGAGGATGGAGGAAAGTCCTCCAGCCCTCGGGGTGTGGAGCTGTGTTGGAAAAGTGCTGGGATTCCCCCCGAGGTACCTCCCTGCCACGGGGACAGAACTCCAGGAGGGTCACCGGGTCTTGGAGCCACCCAGAGAGGGACAAAGCATGGCCGGTTCCCCAGGTGAGAGCACGGCTTGGTCCCCGGCCCCAGCCGGGAAGCGGGGCCGGCAGATCCTGGGGGACTGGGTTGAGCACTCACCGAGCCGGGGATCCGACCAGGAAGGAGCCGAGCTCCCGGGCTGGTGGCGGTGGTGTCACTCCAGGGTGCCTTGCGTAACCCTTTGTGGCCCAGGTGCTGCCTGCAGGAGGGAAGGAGGAGACAGGGGGTCCAGGAGCAGCTTCCCAGACACAGCAGGAGTCCCGGGGACTGTCCCTGTTGGTCTCCATGCTGCTGGTGGCTCAGCTCCCTCCACTTGCCCCCCAACCGGCCCCGGGCAGGAAGAGGCTCACAGGATGCTGGGGGTGGTGGTGCCTGGGGAGGGGGTCCTGGAGGACCTCTCAGAGGAGGTGGTGGGGCTCTGCACCAACCCGCGCTGTCTCGGACCCCAAGCCCTCCCTCTGGGGTCCCCAGGGGACCCAGTGCCTTCACCCAGTGCCCCAAGGAGGGACATTGACAGTGGCCTGGCCCTCCCGATGCTGGGGAGGGTGTGGAGGACAAGCTGACCCTGCTGATGGCTGCCACCCCCTCCTCCCCTTCCCTCTGCCCCCCACCTGGGGACCAGCCCCACGTCCTTCTTTCTTCTGCGGCGTCTCCTTCGGGCAGTCACAGAAATCAGCTCCACGCCTCGGGTCTCCATCCAGGCCACCGCGTCCGGCCGGGGCCGGTACCGCAGGAGGGCATGGCCGTGCGGGGGGGCCTCGTGGGGGGACCAGTCCCTCCTGAACCCCCCGGTCAG